AGATATATATACACACATACAGAGAGCATAAACAGGTGGGAGTTGTCTTACCAACTCTGAGACTCCCACCTGTTTATGCTCTCTGTATGTGTGTATATATATCTCCTCAATATATGTTCCATTCTATATGCATCCGAAGAAGTGGGCTGTAGTTCACGAAAGCTTATGCTCTAATAAATTTGTTAGTCTCTAAGGTGTCACAAGTACTCCTGTTCTTCTTTTTGCGGATACAGACTAACACGGCTGCTACTCTGAAACTCACCAGAAAAGTTGATCCCATAAGATTTTACCTCATCCCGCATTGTCTCAACCATCCTGGGACCAGCACAGCCAAAACACTGTATATGATTCTTTGACCATGGGGTGACATTCCAAGGCTCCACTTAATGAAAAGAGGGAAGAGCATCTTTGCAAGCAGGCTGGCTAACCTCGTGAGGAGGGCTTTAAACTAGGTTCACCAGGGGACAGAGATCAAAGCCCTAAGGTAAGTGGGATGCCAGGAGGGAGCAGGAGCGCACAAGAGGGGAGGACTCCTGCCTCACACTGGGAAAGTAGGACAATCAGCAAGTTATCAAATGTCTCTACACCACTGCAAGAAGCCTGGGAAACACGCAGGGAGAACTGGAAGTCCTGGCACAGTCAAGGAATTATGTGATTGGAATAACAGACCTGATTGAATAAATCACATGACTAGAGTACTGTCATGGATGGATATAAACTGTTCAGGCAGGGCAGACAAAGTGGAGGAGTTGCACTGTATGTAAGAGAGCAGGGTGACTACTCAGAGCTCCAGTATGAAACTGCAGAAAAACCTGAGAAGTGCGAGCAACAAGGGTGATGTTGTAGTGGGAGTCTGCTATAGATCACCAGACCAGGGGGATGAGGTGAACAAGGCTTTCTTCCAGAAACTAACAGAAGTTACTAGATCACAAGCCCTGGTTCTCCTGGGGGACTTCAATCACCCTGATATCTGCTGGGAGAGCAATACAGTAGTGCACACACAATCCAGGCAGTTTTTGGAAAGTGTAGGGAACAATTTCCTGGTGCAAGTGCTAGAGGAACCAACTAGGGGCAGAGCTCTTCTTGACCTGCTGCTCACAAACAGGGAAGAATTAGTAGGGGAAGCAAAAGTGGATGGGAACCTGGGAGGTAGTGACCATGAGATGGTCGAGTTCAGGATCCTGACACAAGGAAGAAAGAGCAGCAAAATACAGACCCTAGACTTCAGAAAAGCAGACTGACTCCCTCAGGGGACTGAGGGGCAGGATCCCCTGGGAGAATAACATGAGGGGGAAAGGAGTCCAGGAGAGCTGGCTGTATTTTAAAGAATCCTTATTGAGGTTGCAGGAACAAACCATCCCAATGTGTAGAAAGAATAGTAAATATGGCAGGCAATCAGCTTGGCTTAATAGTGAAATCCTTGCTGATCTTAAACACAAAAAAGAAGCTTTCAAGAAGTGGAAGATTGGATAAATGACCGGGGAGGAATATAAAAATATTGCTCAGGCATGCAGGAGTGAAATCAGGTAGGCCAAATCACACTTGGAGTTGCAGCTAGTAAGAGATGTTAAGAGTAACAAGAAGGGTTTCTTCAGGTATGTTAGCAACAAGAAGGAAGTCAAGGAAAGTGTGGGCCCCTTACTGAATGAGGGAGGCAACCTAGTGCCAGAGGATGTGGAAAAAGCTAATGTACTCAATGCTTTTTTTGCCTCTGTCTTCACAAATAAGGTCAGCTCCCAGACTACTCTACTGGGCAATACAGCACGGGGAGGAGGTGACCAGCCCTCTGTGGAGAAAGAAGTAGTTCAGGACTATTTAGGAAAGCTGGACGAGCACAAGTCCATGGGGCCAGATGCGTTGCATCCAAGAGTGTTAAAGGAATTAGTGGATGTGATTGCAGAGCCATTGGCCATTATCTTTGAAAACTTATGGCGATCGGGGGAGGTCCCAGATGACTGGAAAAAGGCTAATGTAGTGCCCATCTTTAAAAAAGGGAAGGAGGATGATCCAGGGAACTACAGGCCAGTCAGCCTCACCTCAGTCCCTGGAAAAATCATGGAGCAGGTCCTCAAGGAATCAATTCTGATGCACTTAGAGGAGAGGAAAGTGATCAGGAACAGTCAGCATGGTTTCACCAAGGGCAAGTCATGCCTGACTAACCTAATTGCCTTCTATGATGAGATAACTGGGTCTGTGGATGAGGGGAAAGCAGTGGATGTTATTCTTTGACTTTAACAAAGCTTTTGATACAGTCTCCCACAGTATTCTTGCCGCCAAGTTAAAGAAGTATGGGCTGGATGAATGGACTTTAAGGTGGATAGAAAGCTGGCTAGATCGTCGGGCTCAATGGGTAGTAATCAATGGCTCCATGTCTAGTTGGCAGCTGGTATCAAGTGGAGTGCCACAAGAGTCTGACCTGGGGCCGGTTTTGTTCAATATCTTCATTAATGATCTGGAGGATGGCGTGGACTGCACCCTCTACAAGTTGCAGATGACATTAAACTGGGAGGAGTGGTAGGTATGCTGGAGGGTAGGGATAGGATACAGGGGGACCTAGACAAATTAGAGGATTGGACCAAAAGAAATCTGATGAGGTTCAACAAGGACAAGTGCAGAATCCTGCACTTAGGACGGAAGAATCCCATGCATTGCTACAGACCAAATGGCTAGGCAGCAGTTTTGCAGAAAAGGACCTAGGGGTTACAGTGGATGAGAAGCTGGATATGAGCCAACAGTGTGCCCTTGTTGCCAAGAAGGCTAACAGCATTTTGGGCTGCATAAGTAGGGGCATTGCCAGCAGATCGAGGGACGTGATCATTCCCCTCTATTTGGCATTGGTGAGGCCTCATCTGGAGTATTGCGTCCAGTTTTTGGCCCCACACTACAAGAAGGATGAGGAAAAATTGGAAAGAGTCCAGCAGAGGGCAACAAAAAATGATTAGAGGGCTGGAGCACATGATTTATGAGGAGAGGCTGAGGGAACTGGGATTGTTTAATCTGCAGAATAGAAGAATGAGGAGGGATTTGATAGCTGCTTTCAACTACCTGAAAGAGGGTTCCAAAGAGGATGGACCTAGACTATTCTCAGTGGTAGCAGATGACAGAACAAGAAATAATGGTCTCAAGTTGCAGTGGGGAAGGTCTAGGTTGGATATTAGGAAAGACTTTTTCACCAGGAGGGTGGTGAAGCACTGGAATGGGTTACCTAGGGAGGTGATGGAATCTCCTTCCTTAGGAGTTTTTAAGGTCAGGCTTGATGAAGCCCTGGCTAGGATGATTTAGGTGGGGATTGGTTCTGCTTTGAGCAGGGGGTTGGAGTAGATGATCTCCTGAGATCCTTTCCAACCCTGATATTCTATGATGACTGAAGACAATTAGGCTCTTATTTTAAGCTTCTAGTTTACCCTATCTGACTGACTCCTGAAATCAAAATATGGAGGGATTCTACATGTAAAAGTAGTGTAGCGATGAAATTTTACTCTCAACATTGAAAACAGTCTGAGGTTGGAAGGTTTTATGGGAGCCAGACATTTCTGAAAATCCTAGTAGGCACCTAGCTGCATCTTTAGGTACTGACATACTTTTAAATATCCAGCCCATACTCCACCAGAATTAATTTTGTACGCTATTGAAAGACTTAAGTTTACACCCCAATGCACTTGCTAGGTACTTAAGGAAAAGCTTTCATTTGATTTTTTTAAAAAGGGTATTCGTATAGACCAGAAGTTCTCAAACTGTGGTCCGTGGACCACCAGTGGTCCATGAGTAGGGTTACCAGATTGCAACTGTGAAAGAACGGGACACGGGGTGGGGGGAGGGTAATAGGCGCCTATATTAAAAAAAGTCCCCAAAACAGGACTGTCCCTTTAAAAACAGGACATCTGGTCTCCCTATCCATGAGCTCCATTCAGGTGGTCTGCAGATAGTTCCCTCTAAGGTGCACACTTGGGCAGCTGCACACAAAAGAATGAAGGGCCACCCACCTAATTAGTGGAGCCGCTCAGGTGTGAGGTGGTGGCCTGGGAGGGGGCAGTGGGGTGAGAAGACAGGGTGGGGGGAATTTGGGATGTGCAGGGCTGCAGCAGCCAGAAAAAGATGCAACTTTCCCTGGCAGCCACAGCCCTTAAGCTGGGGGGAGATCCCCCCCACCCCCTCCTTCCCAGCCTCAGCTCTGTGGAAGGGGAAAAACCCCCCTCCTTCCCAACCCCAGCGCTGCTGCAGCAGGGGAGAGAAGGCACATCCATCCCATTAGAAATGGCAGACTACAGATATTAAAATATGAGTTGTGCCCCTTTATTTGTAGAACAAAAAACATTAATTTTTTTTTAATATAGTACCTTTATCCAAAGCGCTTTTCAAGAGTTAGCTAATGGCACAAAACATTTGGAAAGATCATGAAGTGGTCCACCAAGACCCTCAGCAATTTTCAAGTAGTCCACAAAATAGTTTGAGAACCACGGTGTGTGTGTGTGTGTGTGTGTGTGTGTATATATATATATATGGTACTTTTGGGTAGCCTCAAATTAAACACGTAACAAAGAAGCATGTAAGGAGTTCATGAGGGTTAGAGATTTTAATATTAAAAGTATTTTATACATGAAAATGTATAATTTCACCCCACAGAGTTATGTTTTCAAGTGTTAGGTCTCTCTTCAACTCTATTAAAGGGGCATCTACTCCTTCCCTCAGGGTGCAGGGTTTACACACCCATATGCAACATATTTGTTTAAAAAAATTAAAGGGGGCAGTTGTCTTCTCAATACAGGTTAAAACTAAACATTGTATTTAAGACTTTCATTTCTGTCACTATTGGTAAACAGTTTAAGTAACATTTAAGGAGTTTGCATAGTGGGGTGTCAAACCAGCACCCCACCAGTCAAGTGTATAATGAAGTGACTGATGTAATTAATACCCTACAGCATCTTTAGCTGCTATGAGTTAGAAATCTGCACTTTGATGTACTATCTTCCAAACACTGTACAAACACTCCACACACCATATTTTGAAAGGTTTTTTTTTAATTTCCAAGACCCCCACCACTATGAAATGACAGCAAGTACTTGAGCTCAGTTAGTGGCATCCAGCCCCTGCTCCTTCTTCATCCAACTGTTTCTTTCAAGCCCTCTGAATTGTGAGGTGTAGCTACAAGTGTGAAGCATTGATTATGTCAAAATAGCAAGTGTTCAGTTCCTAGAATGAGTTTTTCAGTTGTTTGGCAGTCTATTATTACAAAACCACAAAAATAAATGTACAGATTGCTTTATTGATGTTACTGCTCTCTCAAAACAGCAATCTGAAGATCAGAACTGAGAAATTCAGCTGGCACAATTTCTCCCTGAAGAACTAGCCATTCTGAGTTAGCTGCTGCATCACAACGGCACAGAGACTGATCAATTGCAAGTACTCATCTGCACCATCTGTCAAGCATTTGTCTACCTCCTGCAAATAGAGACACAAGTTATAAACAATCCCTTTAAAATTGGACAGAGGTTTTCAGTGCTTTGACACTAAGTTCGGAGAGGTAGTAGCTATGCAAAAAGTCAGATAAGTTTTCCCACTGAGAACTGGCATTTCTACTGAGATTCATGAATGTGAAAATTTGTAGCTTGAAGTAGAGCTGCACCTGTGTTTCCTGCACTATCCCATCATGTATGCAACAGTGGGCAGACAGAGGAAGTGGGCATTCACCCACCAAAGCTTATGCTCCAATACATCTGTTAGTCTTAAAGGTGCCACAGGACCCTCTGTTGCTTTTTACAGATCCAGACTAACACGGCTACCCATCTGATACTCTAAAAGTTAATTTTCTCAACACTACTGATAATTTGTAAAGGTTTGAGGTCTGTGGTGGAAGATGCCAAGAACCTCAGCACTTTTTCTCCCTCTTACAGCAAAGAGCTTTTTAAAAAGTTAACAAAAAGGCCCTTACTACAACTCAAATTCAGATTCTGGGGTTCCCATTAACAGTCCCCACACCGCCACAGGCCATCATCAACTGTAGCAAGGGGAACACAGAACTTTGAACCAGTGTTCCCTCTAATTTTCCCACACGTGTGGAATGAATTTTGTTATGTGCACCAATTTTCTTATGATACATCACCTCCATATTGATGCACATAAAATTCATGTGGTGGGGGTGGGGCCGAGGGGTTTGGAGTGTGGAAGGGGGCTCAGGGCTGGGGCAGAGGGTTGGGGTGCATGGGTGTGGGCTCTGGGGTGGGGCCAGGGATGAGGGGTTTGGGGTTTAGGCTGCCCTGGGGCTACAGTGGAGAGACAACTCCCCCCCAGCTCTCTCTCCCTGCAACAGCACCTGGGCTGGTGGAGAGAGCTGGGGCTGCAGGATAGGTGCCCTTTCCCCAGCAGGTCCAGGCCAGGGCTGATTTGGGGCCAGGGGAGGGGCATCCCTCCCCCAGCCGCGGCAAGTCCCGGCCAGGCGGGTTCCCTGAACACCTGCATGGCACTCAATAGGCTGCTGCACGGCCACGAACCCATGCAGGGCTCCCTGTTAGGCAAGAGAGCAAGCCACAACTTAGGTAGTTTCTGGGGAACTGACATAGGAGTTAATCAACCCAAGGGAAGAGGCATTCGGTCCAAATCAACAGAAAGTTTAAAAGATATCCTTTACCTTGGTCTCTTCTCATTTATCTACTGTAGAGAGATCTCTCTATTTGGGGATTTCTCAAGAGGTATATTTGAAGAAATGATTAGCTCAATATTTGTCTCATGAGAAGGAGTTTAGCCTTTTTATAATCAAGAAGGGGCACAAGATATCTCAAGTTGCCATAACACAGGAAAGTCTCCTGTTCATTTACATTCCTATAGAGATGGCTACTTAACTTGCACATTTATGTCCTCTCAACGCGTCTAAACACCCCAAACTTCTTAGGGAAATGTACCAATTTGACCAAATTAAGAATTCATTGACATCAACCAGCACCTCAACTCCTTTTCAGCCTAATGCAATTTGGTAAGCTCCAGGCTGACAGTATACATGTAGAACATGATACTGAATGAGACGCAAACAGCTGTGGTGCACACAGGATCAACCCAGAGTGAAGTAGTTTTGGGGATGGGCGGGGGAAAGGAAGCATGGGTAGAAGTACCAGTCCTAGCTAACTGCTGCACTAATAGATGAAATCAAGTTCATGGAGACTTACAGCAAGTTTCTCGGCAATAATAGATTTCTGCTTGTCAGTGAGATCCTCTCTCTCAACAATATCATCATGAAGCTGGTTTACAAGCTGGGCAGCAGCATACCCTTCATTTATCAGATTCTGTAACGGGAAAGGAGGAATGGAAACAAGGTAGCATTAGTCTGAATTGAAAGCTTTTAAGTAGTAGTAGACGACATGAGGGTGGGGACGAGTATCATTTAAAGTGACACTATCAAATCATTAAGACCACTTCCAAGCTGTGAAGTCTATTAAGGAGATGCATAATAAAGAGAAAAGGGGACCCCCTCCCCTGTCATACTCCTGCTATTCCTATGACACACCCTCCCTCGATCATGGACTGCCTAGTGACGGGGCCCCCTTTAAATGTGACTTCTACCTCAAAGGGCTGAGGAACTAAAATCTACTTTAAAAATACATGACCTAGCAGAGTGAGATTTATTTTTTATCTTAATCTATATACAGATAGTTTGTTTTTCTTCTAGTGAAGTGTATTCTAGTGCATTCACTGCAGTTTGCCAGCTAGGCTTACCCATAGCGTTCCATAGAGAAAATGAAACACTGAAGGTACTCTCCATAGATTAGACATTTACACCAGCAATTCTTGCGGTACACACTAAATACTATTTCTAGAAGATATGAATGGGATAGTGATGTCTAAAAAGTGTTTGTGGCAATCAGCAGAAGATGAATTTGATGAAGTCATAGATTTCAGAATGGCCATACAGGGTCAGACCAAAGGTCCATCTAGCCCAGTATCCTGTCTTCCAACAGTGGCCAATGCCAGGTGCTTCAGAGGGAATGAACAGAACAAGTAATCTATCCCCTGTCGCCCATTTCCAGCTTCTGGTAAACAAAGGCTAGGGACACTTCAGACCATTACCCTTTTTGGATACACAATCTTCAGCAGACAGTGGTCTCACAGGAGATCCAAGAAGAGCTGAGTTTGCCTCACAAAAATTCTTATTCTCCACAACTGAGCAGGACACCTTCATATATTGTCAGTTTAACTCAGGAGAAGTCCATAGTCAAGTGAGCAGGGAAAGATTTCTTGTCACCTTAAAAAAGTGCTCTACTTCAGATCAAGGCTTAGGTCACTGGACTGACTAATGTCAGGAAGCTTGTATTACATTTGCACCATAATTGGCCTCAGCAAATAGTCTTCAATTTCAACCTGCTAACAGGAGTGCTTTTATTAAAGTTTATCCCCTACAGCTAGCTCAGAGCCAATAGCACATCATTTTAAAACCAAAACCCCACACTTAAATTGTTTTGAATTCACACTACAGAATGAGAGAAAACATGTGAGCAACTCTACCTTAACTACAGTTTCCAGTTTTTCAAAAGAGCCACTTTGACAGGCAGAGAGCAGTCCATCAATTGTTTCTTTAGGGACAACCTACAACAGAAGTGACAAATACAAAGCATGCACATACTGTCCAGGTCTCTGGGTGCATTTACAGCTTAAAAAGTTTAAAAGGTAACAGCTGACTAAGCCATGACCCAAGGTCACCACCAGAACAGTAAGTATAGACACAGAAACAATGCTACAGCTAGTTACCAGAACGGTCCTTACATAGATAAAATATTTTCCCACCCCCCACCAGCATCTCTCAGGCAAAGGTTGAGCAAACAAATAGGTTTGATATTAAGATCATATGAAATGGGGATAAGTATGCATTGATATTAGTATTTTGTTGATATTTTAGTGTGACTACGTGGAGCACTTATTAACAAATGGATCAGTCTTTATACATTTTTCTAGGGTCCTATGGTCTAGCAGAACAGCAAATTAGTTTCTACCATATTAATCAGCATGGATGTGTGAAAACAAGCAATTAAAATTAGCCTGAAGCAACCAGATGATCAATCAGCAAATCAGAAGAGAGGAGAACTGTTACAACAGATTAAGTCATTTAACTCAGAAAGCACTGTTAGCTTTTCCTTTGGACACATTATTCCTGCAGACTGAAACTGCACACTTTTCTTCACTAATGGAATTTCTTTGGAAGTCTCCGGTACTAGTCTGCAACAGTAACATATGAACAAGATCTTAAATATATTACTTAGATGCAAATTAGGTTCCTCTGATTTTTAGCAGATTATGTTGAAACTGAAGCTTTATGCTTACAGGAGCACAAACATTAATTGGAGGGTTTTCCCCTATCATCCATTTCAACTGGCTGTTATTTTGAAAGTGGACGTTGAAAGTGAAAGTTCAGCCATTTTTGCATAGCTGGAGATACAAAAAACTAATTATCTTCTATGAAGTTGACCGGAGGGAAAAAAAAGATTTATTTAAACATGACTTGAAAAACATGCACAGAAAGCAGTTCTGTTCCCTTCCTCTCAAAAGGACAAAAATGCATGGCTCCAGAAGGGCTAGTGAAATTGTGCTAGGAGGGTAGCACATATAACACAAATACTAAGTGTCCAATATGAATATCTCAGCTCCTCTCTGCTCTTATTCTAAGATTCCTTGCTTGAGGAGATGTGTCATTTTGCCATAGCAACACTTTCATACTGAAATTTAAGTAAGCTGGTCTTCCCTCAAGTTTCTACTGTTCCTGTCAGCATTACCTAGTTATCCTAGAGAAATAAATTGCTACAGAGCAAAAGCCACACAGGTACTTACAGGGACACTGTCAGCTTGTGTAAGTTAAACAAGAACTAGAATGGTTCTTTGAGCCATTCCCCTGCAGTATTTCCAAACCAAACTTTGCAGCACTGTGCTACTGCATGAGAACCTGAAAGTGCAATTATTAGTTCAAATGCCCAACCTAAATGATGCGCAAAAAATAAAGTGCATAATTGATTAAAGTAATTTGTATTTAAAAATTCAGTTTTAATAATCTAAAGGTAATAATCTAACACTTAAGTGAAAAATACTTAATTTTCTGTTTGCACAATATCCCTGAAGTTACCACTAAATGCAGGTACTTGTCATTTGACAACTGTAGACTAAGAATTTTGCAACATTCTTCATAATTAAATTAATTTTGCATATTAAGTGTAGAATCTTATGTAAGGGACAAACAAGAGTAAAATCAATTACTGAAATCAACAAGTTTACATGGTCAGAAAAGTGACTATAACCACACTGTCACAGGAAAAACTAAAAACCATGTATCATAATGATAGCCTACCCCTGCAATTTCGGTGACAACCTTCTCTGTGATCTCTTTCCCACCTGTTAATCGAGTAGCACTTTGAAGAAATGTGATTGCTTTTCTTAAGTCTCCTTCTGACACTTGAACAAGACAAGACATTGCCTGAGGAATAGTGAGAAAAGTGACAAATTATATTTTAATTGTTAGTTAAAAATCAGGTACACTTTGTGGGCAAAAGTGATTAAAAAATATCATGTGACGCCCAGGGCTGCAGACAGAAAGTAGTATGCAGGAAGTCACAAAGCAACCTTTAACATTTCATATAAATATCAGAGATGTATGTGATACAGCTTCTAATAGAAATGCAGTGTAACAAAGATGCACTGTGGGATTGATCCTGCACTTCGCACGTAAGGTAAGCAGAATGCTGTGTCTACAAGCTCACAGTAGAAAGCAATCAGGAAAACCTGATCTTGTATTAATGAACAGAGGACTGAGCACCCTGCAAGTTACTCCTGTCTTTGTAGCTGAAGTGAGGCCAAAGAGGGAAATGGACAATTAAACACATGGTAGGGATTATGCTTAACACATGTCTCAGACTAGTCTCTCTCCCATGCCCTATCCCCTTTTTAACCATCTGTCTCTCAAGTTAAGAGAGCTGCTGCACAAGAGAACTGAATTTTCCACTCAGTGCAAAGAATTATACCCAATGCTTACTCCTGGGCACAACATTAAGGTTTAGTCTTCACTTGCATTTGTTGGAGCATATTCGGTGCTGCACACACTCCCCCAGACTAGTCAAATCAAATCCAGTATCTATTCCAGACATATGTTCACCTTAACCAACATTTGCTTCAATACAAGGATGTAACAAGCATGACATCAGCTGGCTGTAGAGTCAGCTTGAGCAGAAAACCAGTGTTAAGGAAAGAGTGCTCATTATACCAGGTAATTTGTTCTTGATATTCTAAAACTATAGTTCTGCATGAATTTAAGTGAATTCGGAGGGTTTTCATTTTGAAGCAAATTTACGAAGGTTTCTAAACCAAGTATAGTGGAGCTATAGGTCAGATAAGAGTAGTAGTAATTCTTTGGATGTTACCTATGTTAGCTAGTATAAAAAATTCACATGGGAAACACAAAGCTTGAATAGTCAGAAGTGAAATCCAGGATGTATTCATCAATACGCATTCATCCCGTATTTTCTATTTAAAATTAACACAACAACTTCATATTGATATTGTGACCATTTTAGGTTGTAACATGGCTTCACTTTAGTGGACTGAGCATAGAGCCAGAAACTCAGACTGTTCTAATCCTTGTTCTGACAGACTTTTCTCTGGCCTTGGTCATTGAAACTGTTACCCCATGTGTGTAGTTAGGATAATACTAAAATTAGCTCATGTACTATGTTTAGTAATAGCTATAACCAAGCAGAACGGGCATGGGTAGTGCCTATTTACTCCTTTCACTGCAATGTAATTATGCACTCAATAAAGCAATGAATCTATACAGTGACCATAAAGCTACCTCATTGCTAACTTTCACATTTTCCTTTTCAGAAACAGCCCATAGTCTCTGCTGTTGGATTTTATCAGTCAGGGGCTTGAAACGGAATTTGGAGCATCGAGATGTTAAGGGTTCAATTATCCTAGAAGAAAGGAGGAAGGAAAAAATATTGATGAGTCTGTGCAGAGAACTCCTCAGGAATCTATCAGCTTAGATTACTACAGCAGTAAAGCAAAATAGAGTTTCAAATTACAACACCTTAGTGATAAAAAATGAATTACAGATTAAACCCTTCAGATTTGTTAGATCTTGTATTTCCACAGCTGGAGAGCTAACTCCTCTCAAACTACAAGTTAAATAGAAAGGTTTGCAGTAGTAGAGACAAAACTTGGGAAGGCAAAGAAAACCACACAAACCTGCTGATGTAATTACAAATAAGGCAGAAGCGTGTAGTTTTAGATTCTTTCTCCATAGTGCGTCTCAAGGCTGCCTGAGCGGCTGAAGTCATGGAGTCTGCTTCATCCAGGATCACAATCTTAAAAGGAGGACAAACCTTACCACTAAAAAAATAAATGCCCATCATCCAATTAAAACGGAGTTCATTGTTTTCAAGTATAACGTGCATTAATATTTAAAAGTCAAAGCTTGTTGCACAGTACTACCACTATCGATAGGTAATATTAGACGAGCAGATGTAAAGTGGTATGTATTACCTTTCGCTAATCTACCATTTGCCAAAGGACTAGCAGTTATAAGGAGGGGCAATTAATATTTTCACAAATACTTTCTGATCTCCAAGCCTGACACTTGAGAACACTGCAAGATTCCTCTGCTGAAATTCTTATTCATGCTTTCAATTGCTTCCTATAATAGTTTATGCAATTCCTTCTTTTGCAGGCTTCCTTAATCCCTATGGGAATCTTCTAAAATTTACAGATTACAATGGCAGGCTTATCTCAGTACATGATATGGGATGATTTCTCCTTCCAGCTAGTCTTGGGCTTCTGTTACCTCTAGTTAATCACACACTCTGGGGAGAGGCCCATATGGATGCGGGAGCAGAAGAATCTCCTTAACTAATTATCAACTGACAGATTTTGTCTGAGATACATTGTGATTAAAAAAATCACAAACTATAAAATTTGTTCCTACACTAGTTATTCACTCATTCAACATTTGCTGTCACATACACTGAATTACCAAATCTACAAGTTTTTTTGGAATTGCATCCACTCTCCATACAAATTCTCCCCAGTGACTTTAGGGCAAGTTGCACATGCGTATCAAGGGGGAAGACCCTTTGGCCTGCAGTTTTGCTCTAATTTCAGTTATTCTATAGTGACTCAAATCTTAAGTCTGCAATTAAAATTAACCTAAATAAATCCGACACACTTCATTGAGAAATACAATCCATCAGATAGTTGGCTTTAATCTCTTGCTTACTCTGAACGACTTCCAGACACAGTTAGCTGAGCAAATGTCTTCACTTTCTCTCGAATCACTTGTATTCCACGTTCATCAGAAGCATTTAACTCAAGAACTCTCTGTCGGAACAATTCGGGTCTGTGAAGAGTTCAAAACATGTTGCATGAGCCGCTAACTCTTGTAATGCCTTATCAACAAGCAAGTGACTCGATTACAGTCTCTAAGCATCTACATGGGGAATATTTAATAATAGGCTCTTCAATCCAGCAAAGAAAGGTATAACACAATCTAATGGCTGGAAGTTGAAGCAAGACAAATTCAGACTGGAAATAAGGTAAATATTTTTAATGGTGAGAGTAATTAATCACTGAAAATTTACCAAGGGTTGTGGTGGAGTCTCCATCACTGACAAGTTTAAAATTAAGATTGGATGTTCTTCTAAAAAGTATGCTCTAACAATTATTTTGGGGAAGAAGTTCTATGGACTGTGTTACCCAGGTCAGACTAGATGATCACAGTGGTCTCTTCTGGCATTAGAATCTACAAGTTCCCCGGTAATCATTCAGGTTTGTGAGGATTTTAAACTGTAGCAGCATTCTTATTAATGCTGCTTTACAGTAACTCTCTTGCTAACAGCAGAGTATATGTTAAGAGTTCATTAAAATTCTGGTCCTGCAAAGGTCTAGAATTCCATAATCTAGTTTATACCGAGGGCTTCTGGTTTTCAGTTTTAACACACACCAATAAACTCCCCCCCCCCCATACAAAAAATGAAATCTGTGTTTACACAGTAAACACCAAAAAGTATCTGAAATGGTCACTTGTATATAAGGTCTCATCTACATGCAGCATTAATGAGGACTGGGGTTGTGATTTCTAAAGCACACTAATATGTTGTGCATTAATTGGTCTGTGTAGACCCTGCTGGTGCGCACTAAAGGTTCCCTAGTGTGCTTCAAAATAACAGTGTTTGAAACAGTAATACGTTAAAGCGCACTAGGAATCATTACAAAGATTGTTTGTTACAGAATATACAAAGAGCCCCAAAAATCTGTGCTTTCCGGACATCTACATAAAACTGAAATTGCTAATAAACCCCAAAAATCTGAAAACAGAAGCCCTATTTATACCAAGAACCTTGTCCCCTAGACTATGGAAAAACTGAAACATGAAGTCACACTGCTGCTCCAGGCAAAAACATTGAGCGAGCATTCAAGGTCAAGGACACTTGATTTTTCGGTGCTATGTCTATTTGCACAAATATTCTGTAAATCAAATTGTACAGTAACTTGTAAAATCCTCTGTCGCAGCCATCAGTGCTCTGCAGCTGTCGTGTTTCCAGGAGCTATGCTGCTAGAAGATTTAATTTGATACAGAAAGTGCAGCTAAAACAGGACATCAGTCACAGCAGGCCACTTTAGCCAAGAAAGATTAACAGTTGTAAGGTTCCAGAACCTGAAACATCTATGCTTCAGAAAGAGTTTGAATACTAATTAGGAGTTTTCTTCCTAGTGTTAGCTTAGATTATTGATAGTTCTTTCTCCTCCTACACCGTGGAATTTGGATAAGTAAAAAGAAGAACAAAAGATGCTATTTAACTCACACAAGAATTCAACTACACCTCTACCCCGATATAACCCGACCCGATATAACACAAATTCTGATACAACGCGGTAAAGCAGTGCTCCGGGGGGGGGGTGGGGGCGGGGTTGCGCACTCTGGTGGATCAAAGCAAGTTCGATATAACGCGGTAAGATTTTTTGGCTCCCGAGGACAGCGTTATATTGAAGTAGAGGTGTAGTTAAGATTCCTGTGGCATTAGATTTGAACGCAGGTCAGACAAGCCTCTTATTTTAGTTATAATCCTTTAAAAAAAATCATCTAATCACACAAAAGCCACAAAAAGGAATCAATTAACGTACACAGGATTTAAGGAAAAAGAACATGCCACATTATCTGCTGTATCACAAGTTTTTAAAAAAATGTTCAAAGGCAATTACCCGCCTCCTCTTCCCCCCCTCAGATCTTTCTCATAGTCACCCCATTAAGAGTTTAGCTCAATAAAAGATTCACAACACCCTATGAGATAGGGAAGGTGGGGTGGGGTGGGGAGGGGAAGAGAAGGCAAGGCAACTGTGGTCCAGTGACTGGGAATCAGTAGACGTGGGTTCTATTTCTACCTCAGACTCCCAGGCAAGCCACAACCTGCTCCTTAGTTTCCCCACCTGTACAATGGCAAGAACAACAACATTTATCCATTTTTGTTAAGTGCATTGAGATCTACAGATTAGAATTTGTAGTGCATTTTAATACTAAGGATTTCTGTTTTTACCTGTGTGTAAACATTAAAAAAAACCAATCTTCAGTTTCACTAGGGTTTATACAGAATGTTAAATCAGAAAACAATAAAATGAAAAAGCCACATAGGTTCACCATTGTTAAAGGGGCATGGTTGCATGATTTGAATCACCACACTGACTGAGACTTCATCAATAGAGAGCATAGTCAGAGTCCAATGACATGATCGGACAGTAGAAAAACCCTGGTGTGAACACAGAGTGATGTAACAGACAAGTGTACACAGATATCAGAAAATCTTTCAAAGTGAGGAGGATTTCCAGACAGAAGTGGATCACCGCAAAAAAACTCCCATCCCTGCTCTCTCCCTTAATATAGCATCAGATGTTTTACTTAAGTGGTTTAGTGTTAAATGTAATATTGTGGGGAGGGAAATCTGTTATCACCAAGAATTACAAGTTTAGAATACACAGGCACCAAAGAGAAGGCTCAACTCAAAATTAGATTCTTATAGACTAGAACACCACAAAAACTGGAGCATGTAGTGACTAAAAGTGCCACAGGACAGCAAGCTTTTGGAACACTTACATAAATGCAGTTAAATTCCAACTTACCCATAGAGTTCTCTGGCTAATGCCAAAATAGTAGAAGTCTTTCCTGTTCCAGGTGGGCCATAAAACAAGAGATTGGGAAGCTGTAGTCACAGAAAAGGGGTGATTTACAGCACAAGTCATTAATTCAAAATATTTAATGTGAAATTTCTATACTTCACCCTTACTCTACTATTGAACTCCCAACAAAGCGTAGAGAGAAATGGGACTGGATGGCTGTGCTATACAAAGCCTTTCAACATCTAGGTCATTAGGCACTGTAGGTAACAGTCAAAAAAAACACAAGCCACCCCTGTTGTTGATAAGGCCATGTGAACACACACACGTTCTATCAAAACGGATACCCTCACTCAGGGGGGTACTTGGATACAGTGCCTCCAGGTCAGGATTGAGGCCCACTGCTATGACAGTATGGGGGAGGTTTGCAATGACTCTACCTGGAATGTAGCTACCATGGGCTGCTTGTTTTATGCACTTATGCAGGTTTTTTTGCCCTAGGACACAAGAGTCCCTTCCAGCCCACAGCAAACAACAAAAGGCTGAGCTTCTCAGTCAGACTTGATATTTGTAGTCCCAAATACATTATCTTTAAAAAAAAAAGATGCTTTGTAACAAAGAAATCTATTCCACAGAACTAAAATGTTTAACAGTTAAAAGAAAGATTTGAAATTCCCATAATTAAAGTATAGAAGCTACTGCAGATAGAAAGGAAACAGTAAAAACAAAAACAAAAAATACAAAGCAGCAATGAAGATTTACAGGGTAAATAAGTATTCCTGCCAACTACCGAGCAGGATTTGGTGTCTTTTACTGATTTGGCAAACCTATTTAGTAATAGTCACTTATCTCTTCTAATGGCTAATATGTAGACTGAAATAAGTACATAGCAAGTCTTCTATGTAGTGATAATAGATCTGCACACAGTAAAACCATGTATTTAAATATAGACATTATATAAAGCTTCAAGCGCTTCAATGTATATGAAAAACAACTAATTTTATAGGTTGAATTCAGATATGTTAAAACTTTTTAGGAGGGAATGCTTTTTTAAAGATACGGTAAATTTTTATATATAAATAAAACTGAGCATGAAACATGTAACCCCTCATCTCCTCTAAAAAGGAGACTGTCTAGAAGTTATGCCTTTGACGGATTCCAGAGGTTATACATCAACACTATACTAAGTAATTAAGCTTAGCTCAAGTTTAAGACTAAACACCCTTTTTATATGTTTGATCATCTACCATAATTGTCAACATCCTCCAGAATGTTTTAGGATTGTACTGAGAAAGGGAAACATCGTGAGTGTTAGTTCTCATAAGCAAATAGCAGACGACATATTAGACAAGAGCACTGTATTGGCAGGCAGACACTTTGCAGAGCTCTGTGTTGGAGATGTACACAATAACTTGACCCCAAATCACTAATCCATTCCCTGCTAGTCCTGTGAATAGGACTTAGTAAGAGCTTTAATGAGATTCCACGTTTGACTAATTCCACTAAATCCATACTCTAGACTGTTTGTGCTTCAATTTCACATCAAAATCATCACCAGCATTTACACTTCTGCCTTACAAAGTATATCTAATCCTTTATATAACTTAATGGCAGTATTTTTGTCAGAACTGTAACTTGATCCAACCACGCAGTTTTCAATGCTTGCCAGTGGTAAGCTATACCACCTGTAGGCATCTTATCCTGATTATGGGAAGGTTACAGCTACATATCATAATGCAAACCCTAAGTCTGTTTCAGAAAGTTTCTCACACAGCATGTTCTAAAGAGCTGGACAAGAGGAGATGAAAACTGAAAGGGCTGGCAGATCTACGATGAGCCTTCTAATAAGCAGCCTCCAGAGACCCAGTTACAGCACTGAGCATGCCAGAATATTATGTCTTACATTAATTATTCTTACCCAGGCCAGGCACTGCAATGACGGCAAAGAAACTACTCAAGTCCTCGAAGATAGAAACGAAGTGCATGCACCACAACTAGTTAGGCTCAGCCCTCTGCATGTCACTATAAATTGAGGTTGCTGGGGGGGTATGTCTGACTTAGCTCTCAAATGGATTCAGAGACCACTGGTGGTCTATAAAGTGCTGGCTAGTCACATGGCGCCAGTTCTCATTACCTAAAAACCACATTATATCTGGGAAGTAGTCAACTTTACCACAGATTATGTTATGTGACGCAAATGGAAAGGGAAGTGGCCCACAAAACCATTTTGTTATTTAGACGCAGTCCACATTAAGTTTGAGGACTCCTGATCTAGTTATTCTTGTATCCACCACATAGCAGTACTGACTGGCAGCATGGGATGGAGAGAGTAACAGCCGTATGTGGCCAGGAAAGTCATTTGAGAGGCAAGCCTCGGAATTCACTGGGATCCAGTCTGGAACAAACATCAACAGTCTCAGGCTTTGGTTTAAATAATTCAGAAGAGTCTTTTATTGCAGTGTTATATCTTTGTTTATTTTAGAGAAGTGAACAGTTCAAAGTAAGAATTGCCAAGTTTTGTTAATTCTGAAACTAAAGCTACTTAAATGATTTTGCCCTCTAATGGTTTACTGGTTTTAAGCAGTGCAACTACAACAAAATATAAAACCTATAACTATAAATAGGAGTTATACTTCAGCCTTTCAACACTGATGTACTAGGATCATAATCCCAGAAACCTAGCTGGTCAAAAAGCCATAAAGGATTTAAATAGCACTGCTCAAAATAGAACTGCCCAACCCACCACCTAAGTAACATTATGCACTGCAGTATCAGTATTATAACAAGAAGTGACAGCATTTCATTTCTCATTAACATTAATAGGTCCTAAATAACATTACAATTGTATTGAGTATATTTACTAAAATATGGTAGAATTGCTACTAGATTTGAAGAGCATTAACTACACTCACCTGAAAGTATGAGTTACTGGCATGTATTAAAGAACATACTTCTTTAGTCCATCACACTGGTTTTACACAATTGTAAAACAAATTAAGCAGCACAAATAGTTTACAATTTATTTATTTTCAAAAAAATAGGATGTCACATGTGACATGGATTAAATTGATCATTTCAGAAATATTTATAAAATTGGCCAAGAATGGAATTCTAGACAGTGAAAGGGAATGAAATAGGATATAAAAGCTTTCACCCTCCACGTTGCCAATTCAAGTAGCACCCAAGGGAAAAGTCATTACAATTCAAAACTTTTTTGAAAAATGCAGGAGACATATTTTATTCAGTATAATTCCTAGTGAATATGTCCACATCATAAAAGACAACTTCAAACCAATATCTTGGTCAGTCATTTAAGAATCATTAGTGGATCATAAAAATGAAATTATCCTCTCAATTCTAAGTGATCTTTATCTAGAATTTCACTGAGGCAGAAAAAGGTTGTCTGTGTGGGGAGGAGGAGACTATCCCAGGCATGTAGCCAGCCGGGGGCTGTACTTTCATATTCTTTTTACTTGTTTCCTGAAACACCAGGTAGAAGAAAAATGGCAACTGTTCATATAGAACATCACAGCATTTTGTAGCTAACCTCAGCAATGCGACATACATGCAAATTCAAATGGATACTCTTCACAGCACCTTACAAGTTACTTCTGTTTAACTACTTGTGTTTTAAAAAACCCTCAAGAACTGCTCTCTCTTTTCTCACAATTTATTCTAGATCTATACTTCAGTAAGATGTCAATACCTTTAAGCTTTCTTTGCTATTTAAGTGGTTTTAGTAAAACTACACTTAATGCTTCTAAGGGAGGCTAATAAATTAAAAATTACTAGAAGTACATTTATACAAGTTTGTTTGTTTTAAAGTAAACTGCTTTTCCCTCTGCAGCAAATGTTTTAAACCTTAATGTTCAACAGTACAGAATATAGCTAGGTAAGAACATCAAGGTAGCTGAGGTTCTTCCAATCTTGTACAGTAACTCCTCACTTAAAGTTATCCCGGTTAACGCTGTTTCCTTGTTACGTTGCTGATCAATTAGGGAACATGTTTGTTTAAAGTTGTGCCGTGCTCCCTTCCAACGTCATTTGGCAGCCACCTGCTTTGTCCAATGCTTGCAGGAAGAGCAGCCCGTTGCAGCTAGCTGGTGAGGGCTTGGAACCAGGGTGGACCAGCAGCCCCCCAATCAGCTCCCCACTCCCCTAAGTTCCCTGTGCAGCAGCTGCCCAGCAGGCTAGCAATTGCAGTTGTCCCTCCCCCCACTGCCATATGCTGCTCCTGCCCTTTGCCTTGGAGCTGCTCCCTGAGACTCCTGCTTGCTGTGCGGGGGGGAGGGGAAGAAGAGGGGGGCTAACGTCAGGGTGTCCCCCTTCCCCCTGCTCACCCCATCTTCCCTAGAGTGGGTGGGGGGGAGACACGACAGGGCTCAGGACAGAGGGAGCTTGCTGGCAGCAGCTGCAGTCTCAGCAAGCTGATCTAATGAACAAGGCCCTGTACTTAAAGGGGAAATGCACAACACACACGGTGTGTGTGTGTCTGTGATGCTGTCTCCCCTCCCTCCATTCCTGCTGCCTTGTAGAGTGTGAGAGTTAACCCTTGAGGGCTCAGCCAATTGCTACTTCGTCATTTAGCAGTAAGGCATTCCCTGGGAAATATCCCACCCTCTGACTCCTCTACCTCAACCAAGCTTCACAATCATCATCACTGTATACCAGTATTAAACTGTTTGTTTAAAACTTATAGTGTGTGTGTGTATAGTCTTGTCTGGTGAAAAAAATTCCCTGGAACCTAACCTCCTCATTTACATTAATTCTTATGGGGAAATTGGATTAGCTTAACATAGTTTTGCTTAAAGTCGCATTTCTCAGGAACGTAACTACCATGTTAAGTGAGTAGTTACTGTATGATTATGACGACAGAAACCGATGGGAGAGCACCAATCAGTAACGCTTCCAAGTTACACCACAGAGCTGCTGATTTTAGAATTGCTGGAAAGGTCAGAAACATAGAATCAGAGACATATAGGGTTGGAAGGGACCTCAAGAAGCCATCATAATTAGAATTTTTTTTTCCTAATATCTAACCTAAATCTCCCTTGCTGCAAGTTAAGCCCATTACTTCTTGTCTTATCTTCACTGGACATGGAGAACATTGATCACAATCCTCTTTATAATACCAGAAGACTTATCAGGTCCCCCCTCAGTCTTCTCTTCTCAAGACTAAATATGCCCAGTTTTTAAACCTTTCCTCATAGGTCAGCTTTTCTAAACCTTTTATCATTTTCATTGCTTTCCTCTGGACTCTTTCCAATTTGTCCACCTCATTCCTAAACTGTGGAGCCCAGCTGGGGCCACACCAATGCAGAGTACAGCAGAACAATTACCTCCTGTGTCTTACATACAACAATCCTGTTGGGATTCTGGGGCTCATTAACAGCCTTTTTTGCAGCTGTATCACATTGACCTTCATATTCAGTTTGTGGTTCACTGTAATTCCCAGATCCGTTTCAGCAGTACTACCACAGACAGATATTCCCCATTTTGTAGTTGTGCATTTGATTTTTCCTTCCTAAGTGAAGTATTTTGCATTTGTCTTTATTGAATTTCTCCTTGTTGAATTCAGATCAATTCTTCAATTTGTCAATGTCATTTTGAATTTTAAATCCGTCCTTCAAAGTGCTCGCAACCCCTCCTAGCTTGGTATCTCCTCAAATTTTATAAGCATATTCTACTTCAGTGGTTCTCAAACGTTTTGGATTGGTGACCCCTTTCACACAGCAAGCCTCTGAGTGCAACCTCCCCTGCGCATGGTGGGGCTGGGGACTGTCACCCCACTAGATATGCCCTCCCAATTTTACAGCAAGCTATTGATAACTACTCTGAGTACGATACTCGTAAGTCAGCAGCACATAAAACTAGGTTCTGTAGCAGCAGAGAACATCAGAATTTTGTCTTGAACATGCTATGATTGATTAAATGTCTTTGTTACACTCACATCAGCTCCTTCTAAGGATTTTTTCAGCACAGCAACAACTTCCTCTTGGAATGCAACTTCATCCACACACTTCGGACGACTAGATGAAAACACAGTTAAGTGCATTTTAGTATCTGCTAAAAATTCTCAATATCACTTTCACCCAAAAACAAATGTTTTCCTTATAGGTTTCAGGGTGGATTATGAAAAGCTTTGTAAGACAGTGACTGGGCAACTGTGTGCAATGCCTCTAAACTGTGTAGCATCTTGCACAAAAATGCTAAAGTTAACCAGTTTCTCAGGTAGATGCCAGTCTATCTATACTAAGCAACAGAGGGTCCTGTGGCACCTTTAAGACTAACAGAAGTCTATCTATACTGTACACAGAAGTACTTTCAGAAGCACAACTACATTTTAGAATCTAGAACAGCTTTGCTGCTTGGAAGGCTGGTGCAAAACCTTATTAAAAAACACTGCATAGTTTGTATCTTGATAAAATGCAGTTATGATAAGAGCAACGTGAGTGCATGAGCACCACCCACCTTACTGCTCCGTGTATCAAAGGCACTGACAAAACCTTTTACTCCCATCAGCATTGCACAGACATACACTTGCAGGTAGGCAAGGTGGATTCTACCTAGTTATTAATTTACATTTGGACAGAAGAGTTTCTGATGATTTGAGAAGCACAGAGAACTGGGCTTAATTTTCAACTTGCAACACTGACGGGGGGTGGGGGGGAGCACCGTTTAAGTTCTACACTGAGGAAGATTTCCCACGAGGGTCACTGAGTGTGGAAGAATGAGAACAGATTCCCAGTTTTTCCAGGCCTTTTTTTCTCAGAAGCAAGTGCCGATATCTCACAGCTACATTCTTCCATACTCAACACAACAGCTCTAGTGCAGCTACACACCCTGCGCTGCACACTTCGGGGGCCCCTTCCACCCCCACTCCCTCTGGGGGAAATGACTCTCAGCCCTGCAGATACCATTCGCTACCAGCAGCTGCTGCAAATCAGACCCCCCCCCTCCCGCCCCCGCCGAAAAGCTCTTACTATTTCTCCACCCAAGGGATGGGTTTGAGTCTCTTGCCCTCGCCGCTGGCTCCTGCGGCGGCAGCCGTCCCTCGCTCCTTGGAGGCTGGCGCTTTGGTGCTGATGGAGGACGGGCCTTTCAGAAACGCCTGCATAGCTGCTGCTTGTCACCCTGCAGCGAGAGCACCAGGCACTTCGTCACACCCCCCCCACACACACACCTCCCCACGGCCCCTAGAACAGCGCCCCGGAGCCCCCGCCCCCACGCCCTGAGGAGACGGGCAGGAGGAAGAGGCTGTGAACGGGATGAAGGCAGGAGGCATCTCCGCGTCCATTCCACCACCAAGGAGGGGGACAGGCCCCGGGCCCGCCACTGCCCCTCACCCACCCCAGGGGGGCGGCGGCCCCTCGGATTCCCCTCCCAGGAGGAAAAGTGGCCACCCCAAGCGACCAGCTCAGCCCCCCTCTGAGGCGTCCCTCGCCCACGCCAGTAACCGGCCCAGGGCAGAGAACCTACTCCAGCAACAGCAGCAACCCGCTCCCGCCAACCCGCGCTTATTTTTATACGGGGGTGGGGCCGCTTCCGGTTCCGCCTGAGAGTGCGGGGAGGCGTAACCATAGCGATTGAGCCGTATTGGCGAACCGGGTGATTGGTTTAGGCCAGGGCGACGCAGCTACGTTACGTGATTGGATGGCCTCAGGCGCGGTCCCTGAGTGCCTTCAACCAACATGGCGGAGGGCAGCGTCGGCGCGTGCGGTGCGCATGCGCATAGCACCAAGCTGACTAAATATGGCGGGTCAGTGGCCCCTGGTGTCTTTGCCTGAAGGAGACGTTGCGAAGATGGTGTTGCGGGTATTGGGGTTTTGGTCTCTTGCCTGCTACCGCCCTGTAGGGTGACCAGATGTCCCGATTTTTTAGGGACAGTGCCGATTTTGGGGGCTTTTTCTCATATAGGCTCCTATTACCCGCCACCCCCGTCCCGATTTTTCACATTTGCTGGCTGGTCACCCTACCGCCCTGTCAGGCGTGTCTTCTACATGAGGGCATTGGGGGTGGGGGGTACACGATGTAACATGGGGAAGGGGAAAGAGGTGTGAGACCCACGGGGTTCAATGCCCGGCTCCACCGTGTGTGACCTGGGCAAGGCAGAGACACCTGCCCCTCTCCCCCATGTGTACAGCGGGGGTAATAATGCTTCCCTACCTCACAGCCAGTTGTGGGGATACATACATTAAAGACTGTGAAGCGCTTTGAGAGCCATTGATGAAAAGCGCTAGAATAGAAATAGGCAGTGTGGTTAGAGAGACTAGGTGGTGAGATAATTTTCTTTTATTGGACCAACTTCCGTTAGTGAGAGAGACAAGCATTAGTGCCTGCTAGATGCTAAAAATCATGGCCTGAGCAGAGACTCCGGATTGTGGTATATCACAACAATCTGTAACCCACTTACCCCTTTTTTTTGCACAATGACTGCAGGGGTATTCACGGACCACTCTGCCTTGCATGATCCCTTTGAATACATGCTAACTACTTATGCTAAACAATCTGTTGCACCCAAGAGCGGCGCCAGGGTTTTTGGCACCCTAGGCGGGGGTCCTTCCGTGCTCCCGGTCGTCGTCAGCAGTTCTGCGGCGGAGGGTCCTTCTGCGCTCCCGGTCTTCGGGGCACTTCGGCGGCGGGTCCCAGAGCGAGTGAAGGACTCACACCAGAATTGCCGCCGAAGACCCGGAGCGCGGAAGGACCCCCTGCCGCCGAATTGCCTCCCCCCAAATGAAAGCGCTGGCCCTGGTTGCACCATGCATTTAGCTGTGACACTGGGAAGTACCTTTCCCAGACCTGAAGAAGAGCTCTGTGTGGCTCAAAAGTTTGTCTTTCTCACCAACAGCTGTTGATCCAATAAAAGATATTACCTCACCCACCTTGTTTCTCTAATATAAGAAATAGGTATTATTATTACATGAGCAGTGTTTGAGCAATGCCATCTTGTTACAGCAAAGGCACGCTCCTGTGCAGTGCCACACATCATCCTGCTGAAAGGGCACGTTCCTACGTGGGGCTGCAGTGGGCCCAGCTTCCCCTAGAAGGGCATTTTCTCTCCACATGCCATGATGGGGCCGTGCCTCAGTGGGTCTGCAGCATGACACATAGGCTCACACCCGCATCGTGCTATGACATTAACACCCAGGCCTCCTTGGCACAAAGGGACACTTCTGTATGATACTAGGATGTTGCCACAGAACGGTGGTGCATCCTCTCATAATGTATGGGCAAGGCCAGGCTTGTGATTAATTGTTTTTCCATTGGGAGCACATTTCAAAAGTGGGGGCCTGCTATGGAGAAAGTTGTATTGTGCATTGCATCCTGTATCATGGATCCTGTTTTGATGGGCACTATGCAAGCATTCATAATAAACATATTATCAAAATTTTCCATGAGTGGAATATCACTTTTTGCACAGTTTCCTATGAAAAAAACAACTCTAATTTTGATTAAGAAGGATGATCTCGGTTGAAAATATAAAATAAAAAATGTAAACAAAGACTGCAACTACAATGGGGATGAAATGCTGTTTCTTACAAATGGACGCTATCAACTTGAAATACTGTCCATTTAAAGAAAGTGAGCTAAAATGTATATTAGGTCTTATGCCTGGCCCTATGTGCCTCTGATTATGTGTGATTTTACCATCATTTATTTATTTAATAACCTTCTATACTGCTGCTCTGTGAAAGATAACAGTGAAAACTCCTGGACAGATTATACACAAAATGCTACCAAATGCACAAAACAAACTGACAATTAAAAAAAAATCTGTTCTAGTAATCTGAAAGTACAACAAAATTAGGAGGAAAACTTATCAGACAAATAATTTGTAAATTGATATGGCAGTGCCCCTTTAAGGACAAAAATGCATCCCAGCATTCTTGTTAGTCATTACATATACCCACGTTTTGGTGCTATTGATGGCTTCATTTTATGCTTCCACATATCTGAGCTGTGCATATATTGATCAAACAATGCAGCTGTTACATATTGATTACCTCACAGGCTATGATATATTATACCTAGAGAGTCAGTTGCTGTTGTGATTGAATGGGCGGCTTTAAGGTTGATTGCAGATGTATTGTTTTACTACTCACACCAAGATATTGCTGAAAACAAGGCACAAGACAGCAAATGGCCTGGGTGGCAACAAAAGTAATCATTCAGAATTGGAACTGTACAAAGGAGGAAAGTAGATCTGGAAACAGTCTCTATGGCAACTAAAAAACAGTTATTAGAAAGGACACTGCAGGAAAGACATTAAACTGAAAGTGAATTATTCTATTGAGGAAAGAAGGCTATAATTTTGTTTGGGCAATTTGAAATAAATCGTTTCCTGTTATCTGGCACAGTAGCTACATCCACTACTAAATCAGTTGAAATCCAGATCACAGCCTTGCTAACAACAGATATTCATATTTGTAACAATTGAAGTTGCTTGGTGCTATTGAGCTGGTTAACATTGTTCTCTTTTTTCTTTCTGATAGTAAGTATAGTGTTGTTTATACCCTCTATATGGTGATTATATTTGGTACATTGACACTATGGTAAAATCACCTTAAAAATGCTCAAGATACATAAAGAATTTACTACATTCAGCTAGTTTTATTTCTGTAACTATATGAAACTGCATTTATTTTGCACCTACCTGCATGATCTCTTTGGCTGTACACTATCCAGTCTACTCAATGGGGCTACTTCACAGATTCCAGTTTATGGACTAGATGAACCTCAGGTTTGATGCAACATGGCAATTCCTATATTCCTATATAACAAAAATAACCACAATCCTGATTCCAAACTGTTCCCTTTCCCCCTTTGCTACGGATCAGGTAAAAGCAGGAATCGAAAATAACTTTTGCTATATTCTGTCTTGGACCTATGACCATCTTATGTCCAGAGTTAGAATCACAGAATATCAGAGTTAGAAGGGACTTCAGTCTAACCCCCTGCTCAAAGCAGGACCAATCCCCAGACAGATTTTTGCCCTAGATCTCCTCCTCAAGGATTGAGTTTATAATCCTGGGTTTAGGAGGCCAATGCTCAAACCACTGAGCTATCCCTCCCCAACTTAAAGAACAGAGAGCTGATGCCTAGGATTTCCAGTGATATCGACAACATTTTTATCTAGTCCTATCAGCACAGAAGAGAGGGTAGGCCTTACATACAAATGTAACACCCAGATGCATAGAAAAGCTAGGTTAGATGAATTTTAAATTCTAATCATTTGGTCAAGCTCCAACATGTGCTGGACTTGTTCATTAAGGCACTATACATGTGTGTTCAATTCTCTAAGATGTGGCATAAACAGAATACATTATGATGTGGTGTGGCATAAAAGTTTCATTGGTATTCAGTAGGGATGATCAATCAGGTGTGGCCTTAACCCTTGAGATTGCAGCCATTCCAAACTCATTCCAGTCAAACATTTCCCACACCACATATACATATTTATCAAGACATGTAAAACAACGAGATAGTGAACACCAAGGAATTAATGTTGGTTGTGTGTCTGAATAGACACCCAAACACAATTGAAGGCAACCTTCACACCACTCTGGCTCTCCAGCCAGTTCTGATACCCAGTAACTTCCAAACACTTGTACTGACTCAACCATTCCTGACAACCCCAGCTGTCCTCCCTGCCTCTTCCTCTTTTTACACCACCTGGGTTGGTCTCCTTGGGGCTCATAAGCTGTAGCTGCCTCAGGCCTTTGTCTTTTAACCCTTATCTCTACAAAGAGAGGCCAAGCCAGGAAGTCTGGTCTCCCTCCTGAGTCTCAGTCACATTTCCCTTCAGGTGGTAGATGCAGCACTTCTCCAATCAGCACAAAGAAGACTCTAGGTCACAACCTATAGGTACCTTCTTCAGGGTGATCACTTATTACATCTGAGAGGAGGGATGGTCCGGCAGTTAGGGTGCTGACACTTGGGAGACCTGTGTTAAATCCCCTGCTCTGCCACAGACTTCCTGGGTGACTTTGGGCAAGTCACACAGCCTCTCTGTGCCTCAGTTACAAATCCATATCTCACAAGGGCATTGTGAGGATAACCACATTCAAGATATTGAGATGCCCAGGTTATAGGGACTATACGAGTACTTAAGATAACCAGTACAGTGGCTGTATCTTTAGGACTCAACCTAGCCCTTAAAATTAAAGGGACACTGTCCTATAGTTTTGCCCAACATTCAGGCTTTGTCTAAAAAGAGGGAAAGAGATGGGCGTGGGGTTTTTGAAAAACTGAAGGTGAATAAAAAGGTTTATATAGAATTAAAAAAAAAAAGAAGAAGAAAACAGGTTTATTTAGATTTTAGCTTTTGTGTGCTGAAAACCAAGATTTTTTAGCAATATGGTAGTGCAGGAGACCAGACAGTGACTGGTCACTTTTCAATGTCCAAGCTGAGGGAAGTGCAAACAGTGAATGAATGGTATAAACCATGGTGAAAAGTATTGTTATGCTGGCGGTTTGGTGAAACCTCATTTAAGCTGGTGGGCGTAATACCTGTCGTTCATTCAGGATATATGTAAGAAGTAGTTTAACTCCTTTTGAAATAAAATAGATTAAACCAGAAGAGCCACTGCCTAAAACACAGGTCACACAGA